CATAGAAATTAGAAATGCATGTGCAAACATCTTAATGTCAATTGCATTGAAAATGAATTTTTCTGTATGAAACTGTGTATTTTAATAATGACATAGAGATCTTTTTCAAAGTTTAAAACCTCATTTAATTTTATGTGTTATAGGGTTTGTACAGAGTACTATATTGTATAACTGTATTAATTCAACTGTAAACCTAAAAATTTACAGCTAATTTTGAAAGAGAAGCATCTTAGCTCTGGAAATTGTTATTGAATATGTCAATGCTGTTGTAATGAAATGCCTCTTCTAATTATATGGTTATTAAATAAATAATCTTAAAAACCTCATTGAACTCATAGGATTGATTCCCAGCACCCACATGGCAGCTACTAACTGTCCTTAACTCCAGTTCCAGGGAAATCTGAAGCCCTCTTCTGACCTCCGCAGCATTGCACAGCACAGTTTCACTCACACACATGCAGGCAATACACTCATACACATAAATAAATAATTAAAAAATATTTTAAAAAATCAAAAAATATGACAAGTAGGTTGGGACAGTCCTCTTGCCGCCTGAAAACAAGCAATGATCTCCGTATTCTTCTACATGTTTGAAACATTTTATTATTTTTATTTTATGTGTACGTGTGTATTGCCTGCATGTTAAGTCACCTGTGTCTTGCAATGCCCCAGGAGGCCAGAAGAGAGCATCTCTTGGAACTGGAGTTACAGATATTTGTTAGCTACCATGTGGGTATTGGAAACCGAATCCGGATCCTCTGCAAGAGCGCTCAGTGCTCTTAACCGCTGAGTCATCTCTCCAGCCCCGCTTTTATATGCTTTAACACATACTCATTTCTCCCTCTTTAATAGTATTGCCGCTGTAATTGCGAATAAAGCTAGAGCAGAAAAGCAGAGGCTTTTCCAGCACCAGGAAGAGTTCTGATTTTGGAGCCTTGGTTTCCCATTCGGACACCGTAATCGGTGTGTCGCGATGACTTCTGGGAAATGTAGTCCAAAGGGACAAGTGCTGCGGTTCATCCAGGGAAACCCGTTGGCTCTGTCGCGCGCGCGCAGTGGTGCCCGGCAATTTGGCGGCAGGGGCGAGACTTGTCCTTGCCCTGGGTGTGCGGCTCGCCTCCCGGGTGGTACTCGGCTGGGAGCCCGGCCGGCTGGACTGAGGTAGGGGCTGCAGGCGAGGGCGAGGGCGAGGGCAGGCTCATTGCGCTTGGCTGCTGCGGGAGGTCGGGTCGGAGGTCACGGCCTCGGCCACGACGCTGGTCCCAGGCGCGTGGGGTACGGATTCCGGAGCGCCCGGCCTCGGCAGGTGCGCGCAGCCCCCGGAGGCGCCGTTGCCCGGAAGGTTCCCAGTCCTTTCCAGTGGAGATATCCGGGTAGCCCTCGGGCCCAACCCCGTTCTCCTGGGCCACGGCCCCAGAAGAGAGACCCGAGTGAACTGCCCTGCTGCAGGAGCTCTGGGAGGTTTGCAACTGGCAGGTTGACCCCTCCCCCATCACCAGCGTTGAAACTTTGATTTTTCTGTTTGTTCATTTGTCTTCCTTGTTGGACAGTGTTTTGTTTTTCATAGAGAATCCCAGGGTGTTTTGTTTCTTTTTTGGGTTAGTTTTTGCTCAGTATTTTAGTATTAATGGAGTGGAAGAGTGCTGGGGCTGGAACCCAGGACCTCTTAATGTCGCGTGCTCCCCCACTGACTGCACCTCCAGCTCCTTCGCTCCAAAATTTAAAATTTATAGCTAGCAGTACCCTTCCTCGGAAGCCTGTGTGTGTGTTTGGCCGGCTTGGCGGGAGGTGGGTGAGGTTGGCGTCTTGTTCCCTTTAAGCAACTTTTGGTCATCCTTTGGCCAAAGAAGCAAAACTTCCTCTGGAAGAGAGGACTAAAGTTTAGTTGGCAGCTTCTTTCACCAAGTGCAGCAGCGTATTTATGCTTTTTTCTTGCTAATTTGCACCTCTGAGCTGTGCTTGATTTTACCTTTTCGTTAATGAACAGCTGATGATTCTAATCCCCTCGGTTCAGTTCGTTGTTGTTCATAATCCCTGGAGGAAAGGTCACAGGCCCAGTGACAGAGTGTGCTTATTGCCCGCGTCTGCCTTTGGAGGCCATGCTCAGGTTCCCTCAGGCTTGGGAAGGCTGGGGCTGCACACATGCTCAGCAGGTGATTCCTTTTTAAAAAACTAGTTTTTGCAACAAACCCTTTAAATTTTTTATTTTATTTTATATGTATGTGTGTTTTGCCTGCATGACAAGTGCGCCTGTGCATGCAATGCCCACAGAGGCCAAAAGAGGCCCTCATATCTGGAACTGGCGTTCTAGACAGTTGTTAGCCCCCCTGTGGGTGCTGGGACTCCAGGTCCTCTGCAAGGGCAGCCAGTGCTTCTAACTGCTGAGCCATCTTGCCAGCCCCCAGCAGGTGTTTCTGACCTGGTCTGACTTAATGATGACAGGAGCACAGTCAGGATGACTAGACCTCACAGCTTCTCTCTCTGTTCCAGGTGCCTTCTCAGGAGGGGTAGCAGGGAGGGAGAAATGGCTAGGAGACTGCAGCCAGCCCAGGTTCAGGTGAGTGAAGGCTGATGTTTTTTAGCTGCCTTCAGGGTCTTTGGGTAGCAAATGTGTTTCATCCTTTCTTGAGCTTCTCTGGGAAGGGGTCCCCAGGGAGGGACCTGAAGCCGCTGGTTGGTAAAGCACTCCCCTGGAAGGCACTTCCTTGCTTCAGGCCAGTTTCCAGGTAGAGTCTCCACCTATTTAAATAGCTGATGACTAGGAGTTAACCCCCCCCCCCCATTTATTTGAGCAGCCATCAGACTATGAGCTATGTGTTAGGTGGGCCCCAGTTTCTGCATTCTCCTTGAGATTTCAACAGGCCTAGAGAGCCTCAGCAAGCCGAGTTTACTAGAATAAGAGCCCCCTTGCACAAAGCAGAGCATCCAGGAGAGACAGGATTAGCAGCACACTGTGTCAGCTGCTGCCGCCTCCCACCTTTAATTCCAGCACTCAGGAGGCAGAGGCAGGCAGATCTCTGTGAATTCAAGGCCAGCCTGGTCTACATAGGGAATTCAGGCCAGCTGGGGATTTATCGTCCTCTTTTTTTTTTTTTTTTTTTTATAAAAAAAAAAAAAAAAAAAAAAAAAAAAAAAAATCCTTTTCTGCTTAACCTAATGACATCATCCATCTTTCTCCCTTTTGATTGGTGGAAAGTTTACCTCCTACCCCACCAATGTAGGTTAACCCATTTGAGCTAGAATTCTCACAATCTTGTGACCTGATCTTAGGACCGGTCTTCTCACCACACATCTCTGTACTGTTTGTCAGCTCAGATACCATGTTGCTGCAGAGCTATGATTGATGGGTTCAAGTTTCATTGAGTTAGACTTGTCCCCATGCAAAGCTCCTGATAATGCAGTCAGTGCCCAGTGGTGCTTTTGATTGGCTGAGCTTGTTTCATTTTGGAAGGAACCTGGGATATGGGCTCTTCTTTGTCTAAAGGCTGTTGTATTAGGCTGTCTTGATTCTATTCAAAGAAAGATTGGGTACCAGTTCCTTGGGGAAACTTTTGAGTTGAGGCTAGAAGGTAACTAAGCCCTAGAGGATAGATATACCCTCTGGGAAGATGGCTCAGTTAGTGGGGTGATTGCCACACAAGCATGAGGACTCAAATTCAACCCACAGAACTCAAGTAAAAAAGCCAGGAGTGTGCTGTAATTCCAGTGTTGGAGAGGCAGAGACAGGTGGATCCCTGGGGCTTTCTGGCCAGCCAGCTCTGTGAACTGGCAAGCCCCAGGCCAGTAAGAGCCCCTGTATCAAAAACAAGATGGACAGTGTACTGAGGAGCTCGACACCTGAGGCTGACTTCTGATCTCTACTCAAATACATTCACATAGATTTGAAAGGGACAGAAATTCGGACAGAAAAGGAGTGTGGTCTGGGGATGTCACACAGGGGTCGAACACTTGCCTAGCATGCCCAGGGCCCTGGGTCTAATTCCCAGTACTTCAAAAAGGCAGAGGAAAGGCAGCCTCCTTCCTCGTTTCCAAAGGAGAGAGTCAAGCCACTCATTTTTACATTGGTTAGCCTTCCAGGTTGGGGAAAATGCCAGGCTTTGTGATCTTCCTGGGGCATACTTTCAGGATGGTAAAGAGATAGGGAGTTCCTGGCACTTAGACTGTAGAAATGGGTGCTAAGGGACTACACTTCTATGCTGATGTACAGGGAGGCTGAGCCAAGCAACCTAAACATCTCCCTGCAGATGAGTTGTACAAACTAGTTCATTTCCAAGTCCCAGGTTGTGTGTTGTCTTCTTGATTTTGTTTGTTTCACCTGCTCTCTGGTCTGACTGCTGTGTTTGAGGTTTCCAAGGGCACCGGATGTCACTTATTGTAGGTACATCATAAATATGTGCTCAGTAATAAGGCTCTTGTTCAGAAATGCTGGATTAGTTTGAAACACTCAAACCCCCTTCACAGTCTCTTGGGCATGGTCTGGGGTGAGCAGGGATGGGTTTGTCCTTCCAGGGGCCGTTGACATTCAGGGACATAGCCGTATTCTTCAGCCAGGATGAGTGGTTGCACCTGGACTCTAACCAAAGAACCTTGTACCGGGAGGTGATGCTGGAGAACTACAGCAACTTGGCCTCGCTGGGTAAGGAGTGTTCCTATGGTACAGATTCTTCCGTGGAAATGTGGCCTCCACCTGGAAACACTGGTGAAGGGTTTGGCCAGGTGTGGGCTGTGAATGGGCTCAGTCAGTCCCGGCTGATGTTCTGGGCTGTTCTGAGAAGTTTGACCTGAATGAGTCGATAAAAGGACCTTTGTGCTTTTCCTATCTTACCCCCAGCTCTGTGTCCTTGGGCTCCCTAAAATGTCCCACTGAGAGGAGAGCCTAGCCAGAGCCCTGGCTCACATCCTTGGATCCCCTGGAGAGCTTTAGGAGCCCAGTCTTCAGCTGCTTTCTGAACACACCCCATTCTTCCTTGCACAGCCCCCCTTCCCCGGGCACCCCAGGGCTGAAACTCTGCCATGATAGCTACTCATGTCATCTTGTTCACGAACAGGGATTTGTTCAAAGCCAAAGATCATCTCTCAGTTAGAGCAAGCCGAAGACCTCCAGACGGTGGGAAGTGGAATGCTTCAAGGCAGGTGTCTAGGTAAGTGGCGGGGATTGGGTGTTGGACTTGGCAGTTCCTACCTGCCTGGGTACAGTGAGGGGATTATGCTCGGGAGTCAGTGGCCATGGGGACCTCCCTGCTGTGCCAGGACATGAGGATTGCTGGGAAGTACGGGCATGTCTTCTTAGTTTTGGATCACCTGATCCATTGGGTGCAGAGGGAGAAGTGAATTCTCCAGACAGAGGTTATGCTCTGTCAAACCTGTGTTTATTATTACTACGTCTTCTACCTTTCCCTTTGCTTTTACTGCCCTGGTAAATTCTTTTACCTCAGTGGTTTAAGTAACTTTCATGACTGCGGTGCAGCCGTAGTTCGATCTCGGGACTTTGCTTTGGCTCTTTTTTTATTTCTCTCTCTGTAACTCAATACCCATGGTTAGGGAAAAAGAAAATAAAACGGATGTGTGGGCATTATGTATATGAGGGAAACCAGGCATACCAAAATGGTGACAGTTACAGAATTTAAGGCCATTTTTATTGTGAAAGATATCAAGGCACAGGGCAGGTCCTGGTCCCTGGTGTGCTGCTGGGTAAGATCCCGCCTGCTGCAGCCTACACCAGACTCTGTTCTGCTTTGGATTTAGTCTTTGTTTCTGCCACCAGAGGAGGACTGTCTTGAGCTCTGCTGCTTCTCCAGAATTCACTTCTCTTTGACAGGAGACGGTTGTTCTGGGCCAGTGCAGACTTGGGTTTCCGTTCATGAACTGCCTTTAAATTTTTCTTTGTTTTGACTAGAATACTGCCACGAATAAATTTTTTTCAGAGACGTTTTGCATGCAGTGTTGATATGTGTCCAAGTCCGTTCTTTCTTCGCTCTTTTGGAATAGCCTTGGGTAGAATTTTGGCATTGGGTTTTTCCTTTCCCCTATCTGCAGTGGCCACACTTGGTTTCACTCCACAGTCTTTGGCGCAGCATGTTGATAAAAAAAATCCTCAATCTGATTCTGTTTCTCATTTTTTCTCTACAAATAGCCTCTTTTTTTTTTTTTTTTCTTATTTTTGTGTTTTTTCCCCTTTCCTTTGTTCTGCTTAGAATCTTATGGTATTTCTTCTTTTTCCTTGAAATTCAGAAAACTTATTAGGTTGTAGAAAGGATTTTTTTTTTTTTTAAACATTTTATCTGTTTGGAGGGTGAGCATGGTACGTGCTACATCTTTCTGGTGGAGGTCAGTGGACAGATTGCTGGAGTCAATGCTTGGTTTCCACCATGTTGGTTCTGCAGATGACAGTCAGGTCTTCAGGCTTGGCACCAGGCTCTTTGCTTGCTGAGCCATCTTACCAACCCTCTTTAATGTTTTGACACACACACTCAAAAAGTCCCAGGGCTGTGGGGATGGCTCAACAAATAAGATCACTGGATGCTCTTGCAGAGGACCTGGGGTTGGTTCCCACCACCCATGTGGTGACTGACAACCATCTTAACTCCAGTTCCAGGGGAACTGACACCCTCTTCTGGCCTCTTCAGGCATTGCACACATGGGGGCACTTTAATACATGCAGGCAAAATACTCATACACATAAAATTTTTTTTAAAGATTCAGTTCCCTTCAGGGATATTTTGTTTCTGCCACATACTTAAGCAGATTCTGCCCTGTATCACCAAGAAATTTGTGAAACTGACTTTAAGAATAATTATATTAGAAATTCAAACCTAGAAACCTAGAAGCCTAGAAAATACATTGTTTTAAGGACCAGAATAACAGCTTTCTGGTTAGCAAAGAAATCAGTGGTGTCAAATTGGTTGTGTTCTTTTTTGAGTTTAAGCCTTTTCTTGTTTTTGAGACAGAGTCTTACTCTGTTACTCAAGCTTTCTTGGATCTTTGTAGCTCAGGCTGGCCTTGAGCCTTATGGCAGTTCTCCTTTCTTAGTACTGTGATTGTGGGTCTGAGCCAACACACCCTTCTAAAAATTATTTGTAATTTATACAAGTTATATGCATGGTGGTATAAAAGCAGGATTAGGGGAAGAGAGAACCTCACCTCAAATTTTACCAGGTATGATAAACTACATTGCTGTTTTCAGTTTAGATTGTGAATGTTTTCTCTGCATAACACATCAAGTATATTTGTTATTGTTAAGACTTAAGTTGTAAGTCTTGAGTTATTCAGCTCCCAGAAAATACAGGCCTTCCTTGTTGGGTGGTCCTTATCATATTGCTGTGTTGTAGTTTTTAAAGGTTTATTTTCATGTGTATGAGTTGTTTTGCCAGCATATATGTGCAGTGTGTGCTTGCAGTGCACATGGAGGCCAGAAGGTGTTAGAATCCTGGAGGCCAAAAGAAGGCTGTGAGCTGGAGTCTGGCTGTGTTAAAATCAGTTACACACTTGGAAATTTATATTAAGATAATCTACAATTGTGCTGCAAAGTACAGGTGCTGTAGAGAAGGACCTGTGATAGCATTTACTAGGAGGATGAATGACTCTGCGAAAGGGATTTATTAAGTGGTGACATGTTCATACTTTGGACAGATTATATGGCCATTAAAATGTTGATGTCAGTGTATAGTTTACTGCCATGGAAAGAAGCCTATGATTTTTAAGTGGAGTGAAGGAAAGAAACCTATGATTTTTAAGTGAAGTGAAGGATAGAATCTTAGTTTATTTTTGAAGTTAGGGTGACTTTTTTACATACAGAAATGTCCTCCATATAACAGTGTTTTATGTTTGCATGGTGTGATTATTAGATATACTTTCATATTTATAGTTTTCTGGATCCTCTTTTCTGTTTTTGCTGTGATTAAACATTTCCTTTTAGTCAAGAGGATAAAATCTCTTATAGAATCTATTCATTTCTTTGAGGCAGTAATTCCACTTCTTACAGTGTACCCTAAATAATTCAAAGCAGAAATGACTTTCAAAAATGCATTGTCCTTCAGGGTTTCCCAGTGTCGTTGTGCTGGTCTCCATTAGCTGCTGACGGGGCTGAAAGTGCACGTTGACCTGTCAGCCCTTCCTCTGTTCTCTCATAGATGAAGGCAGCAGTTTTTTAAAATAGGGGAAATTGGAAACTAAGACTTCCAAATGGAAGCTTGCATTGTTCAGCCAACCTATAGTAGAGTCTTCTGTCTGGAAACTTAGTTCCCAGTCTTCCTTATTTGTAAATTTCTGGGATTGTTATGGGAATATAAAGGTGTAAAGGGAGGAAGTCCAGGGAGTAATCACTGCAGCATAAAGCAGTGTGGACTGCAGTTGAGAAGTCCACTGTGCCTCTGATCTACCCTGTGTTGCCACCTCTTTACGTCATCACGAACTTCTAGTGCTTTCCTTCCAAAAAAATGGTGCAGCCTCCTGTTTTCTCTGAACCTGCGTCTCTGTCCCCCTTTAGTCCATTTGCCACATGGCAGCTAGAATGTTCTTTTTCAAAACAAAACTGTTTATCATGTTCTTTTAACCCTTAGTGATGTCTAGAAGAAATTCCAAATGCCCGCAAGACTGCAGGCTATGTCCTTGCCTGCCATTTTCCTCATTGATAATTCTCCTCTTCCCGCTGAGCTTATGCCATGCTGGTCTTGCTCATGTCTGGATCACAGAGAGTTTATTCTTGCCCGGGTCCTTGTGTTTGCTGTCTTTTCTGACTGGAATCCTCTTCTTAGCCACTTTCTTTTTGCCTGGACTGTTCTTCTTTAGAGTTCACCTCCTTCACATTTATTTGTTTTGTGCTGTGGTGGTGGGGGGAGGGGATGGTGGGGGAAATGCTGTGACGTAGCAGGAATGTGGAGGTCAGAAGACAACGTCCAGGAATGAGCTCTTTCCTTCTAATGTGGGTCCCAAGGATTGAATTCAAGTTGTTAGGCTTGGCAGCAAGTACCTTTAGCCACTGAACCATCTCAGGCCCTACATTTTATCTTTGATTTAATTTTCTTATCAGCCAGATTAAAGGATCAGCATAGTTGCCTCTCACTACACATTGCCTTTCTTTTGCTTATTCTTTTACAGTTTTCATAAGTCCCTGGTTACTACTTTGGCATTTGGTTATGTAGCCACTGAATGGCGGTCTGTAGAGTTGACCTTTTCCAGAGCCGTGGCCTTTGCATGGTGTATTGAGGGGTGCTCAGTACATTAGTTTTCAGCTGTGGGGACCTAAAGGCTCCACCTTGCATAGGTCTGAGAAGAAGTTACTAGGACGTGGCCTGACTTGTTTTAAAAGTCTGAAGGATACTTCCACACTGCTGAGGAGTGCATGATCAGCGTGTGACCATCCTTAAGATACACCCTGGGGGTGGGATTTCCAGATGCCTTTATAAGCTCTGTAACACCTGCAATAAATGAGTCCCTGCTTGACTAGGCTCCCCATTGTGCCTGAGTGTTCCCGGTACTGGGGGCGGCATGGGCTGGTGAATGGTGTGCTTACTCATCCCCAATCATCATTGCGTGGGGTTCGCTGGTTCGAACCCCCAGCAACTGGTGCCCAGTGTGGCGCTCGAAGGAAGGTGAAAAGAAGAAAAGAAAGAAAGAAAAATAATGGATTGGGGCCAATCAAGGAGAGAAGTTCGGGGTAAGCGAGACCCGAAAGATGGGTGACACAACTAATAAGCCTGAGGACCCTGCGCTTAAAGCACTGAGAGATATGCTTAAAAGCAGGGGATTGGATCGGTCAGGTCTGGCAGCTCAAAAGGTTTGGGCAGAGGCTGTTCATTTGGCTCCCTGGCTCTTTGGGGCTAATGTTTTTACTGGGGATACATGGGAATCATGGGAGGAGTTTGAGGAAGAATGCAGAAATGCAACAGAAGTGAAACCAAAAGCGGCCAAAGTAACAAGCAGCACCTCCAGCGTGCCCTGGCCAGCTTCAGGGCCTCCCAGGACCCATGAAAACAGGACCCATGGACCCTTTTTTCAGAAGGGCGGGGTGGAGCAGAGCACAGCATTGAACTAATGCGTGCATGAGTCAGGCCCACACGAAAGCCAGGCGGGGGACCGCCCCCCAGCAGGTGACCGGCCACCTCCGGGTGCATTTAAAAAAAAAAATACTGTTGGCTGTGCACCGTGACCGGCTCTGGGACAGCTGGGAAGGCCAGGTTCGGGGAAGGTGGCTCAGGGGGCCCCGTTCCATCCGTTCCGCAGGCAGCTGGGGATCCACCCTGCCCCCGAGTGTTACAGCCCTGCCAGCAGCAGCGCTCGCCAAATCCCGGGGCCAAGGGAGCCCTTAGTAAAAGCCTACAATGTTTTCACTGACTGGGGCAGATTTGGAGCTGCAGTGGTAGTATACCCGGGGGCAGATAAAAAACCAAAAAGATATGTCCACACTTGTGATGGCTCAGCTCAATTCAAGGAACTCATGGCCATTGCTTTCTGACAGTATTCAGACTTGTACGCTCCTTAAGGAGAGAGAAGCCCCTGTCTTCTTACAGCATCTTAGGGGGCACCAAAGATTGCCTGGGCTTTTATCCCAAGGCAATGCAGAGGGAGACAAGGTGGCTTCCACCCAGGTCCTGTCAGCAGGCCTGAATGAAGCTCAGGGGTTACATAACCTCACTCATGTAAGTTGGTGGGGACTCCATAAGAGGTTTTTTTTTTCCGCTCATAAGGAGAGAAGTCTAAACATGCTCAGTCTCATTTTCTCCAGTGCTTTGCTACGTTGGGATTGCCCCAATGAATTAAAACTGATAATGGACCATGTTTTGTGAGTAAAAATTTACAAGATTTCTTTTCACTTTGGGGAATTCAACACAATATAGGAATTCCCTACAATCCCCTAGGTCAAATCATTATACAACACAACCATCCAAACCTAAAAATTCAATTACAAAAATGAAAAGGGGGAATGAGCCCCTACCAACAGTTGGGTATGGCCTTATTCACTATTAATGTTCTTAATTTTCAAAAAAATCAGTTGGAATCCCAGTTTCAGAAGCATTGGGGATGACAGGAGCAGAGACCTGAGGTACAGGTAAGATGGAAGGACCCCATTACGGGGCAATGGAAAGGCCCAGATCCATTACTAACCATGGGTCGAGGCTTCAGGTGTGTCTACCCTACACAAGATTCAAACCCCATATGGGTGCCTGCGAAAAACCTTAAGTGGGTAGGCCAGGATCCAACTGACTAGCACGATGGTCCATGGACAATAGTTCATGAGACAAAATTCCTCTCTTTATTTATATCTATCTGAGGTGAAGGTCCCAGTTCCTTGGCTTCATTGCCAGTCAGCCCCTTTGACAACTGGCTGATTGGCTAAAAGGTACATGGTCTCAGAAGTATTTCAACTTGTCCTACACCATGACTTGCTTTGTTTCTCTTGATAATGCTTATCTTTAAGTGTCTTTACCAGATAATTCAGCGACAGAGGACCCTTGGAACTGCCACAGCCCACCTCCTCATGATTACGGACTCCCCCAGGAATATACCCCCTCCGGTTGCCCATGCTTGGCTAACCAAGTTAGGCAGAGACTAAGACTGTCACGGGCTGGCATTACCCACGCGGCTGCCCTTAATCATGACGCATTTTTAGCCAAGGACGGGTAAGATGTCCCATGACAAGCACTCCTAAGACAGGACATGCACATGGCCAGGTACATGGTCCAATGACGGGCAAGGCTTGGTCAGAGGTGACACAACCTAAGGCAGGCAAAAATACATAAGATGAGAGGAAGGAGAGCCATCTCTCCTCAGGGAGCCGCCTATGAGGTGGGTAACCTGTGAAATAAAGTCAGTCCAGCCTTAAAAATAAAGGGGGAGATGTGGGGACCTAAAGGCCCCACCTTGCAGAGGTCCAAGAGGAAGTTACTGGGGCGTGGCCTGACTTGTTTTAAGTCTGAAGTTTACTTCTGCACTGCTGAGGAGCACATGATCAGCACGTGACCATCCTTAAGATACACCCTCAGCGGGGAGGGGGATTTCCAGATGCCTTTATAAGCTCTGTAACACCTGCAATAAATGAGTCCCTGCTTAACTAGGCTCCCCACTGCGCCTGAGTGTTCCCAGTACTGGGGGCGGCGTGGGCTGGCAAACGGCACACTTACTCATCCCCAATCATCATTGCGCAGGGGGTCGCTGGTTCGAATCCCCCACATTCAGCACTCTGATGGGGACCAGAATGACACTGCTAAAACTTTCGCGGAGCTCTTGAGAGGTATATAATGCTTCTTTAAACATTTCTCTGCACTTTTCTTCTGGGATTTAGCTGAATGTACTGGGAACTGACCTGGTGATGAAGGTGAGCTGTAACAGTGAGCTGTACTCAAAAATGCCTTACTCTTTCTTGATCACCTAGGCCTTATTGCAACTGGAAGACCTTGCCACTGAGGTCTTCAGCCTGCCCGTACCTAAGTTTTTTCAGCCCTTTCCACCCAGGCATGTCTGCCCTCCTTTTTTCCTTGTGTTCCTTGTTCCCAACCTTCTCTAGGATGCTTAAGCTAGAATTGTTAGCTGTACGTATGCTTTACGATATTCCTTTTACTTTGTTTCCAGTGCAAGAGTCACTTAATGTTTTGTTTATTTTAGGGTGGACGCGTTTGTTTGAGCCCACAGTTTCTGAAGAAGAAAATAGGGAAGTCTTGAAATACCACAAAGTTGCTGGTCCTTTCGACTTCATAGTGGGGAAAACACACATAAATGAAGACCAGTCAGAGGAGCATCAAGGCAAAAAGAACAAGCATTACAGCAAAATGTTGCTTACCATTAAAAAAGACTATGTGAAAGAGAGGAGCTTTAGGGGTAATGAATTTGTGAAAAATCTTGCTATAAAGTCTTCATTTACTAGAAAACTTGGAATCGTTTCCAGAGGAAGAAAACCCCGTTCCCAGCAGTATTCAGTTCTATTTAAACCACTGGGAGTCAACACTGTGCATAAATGTTACAAATGTAACGTCTGTGGGAAAATCTTTCTTCACAGTTCTTCCCTGAGCAAACACCAGAGGATCCATACTGGAGAGAAGCTCTACAAATGTAAGGTATGTCGTAAAGCTTTCAGCCAAAGCTCATCCCTAACACAGCACCTGAGAGTCCATACTGGAGAAAAACCATACATATGCAGTGAATGTGGGAAGGCTTTCAGCTTCACCACTTCTCTCATTGGACACCAGAGGATGCACACTGGGGAGAGACCCTACAAATGTAAGGAATGTGGCAGAACATTTAAAGGCAGTTCATCCCTTAACAATCACCAGCGGATTCACACTGGAGAAAAGCCCTATAAGTGTAATGAGTGCGGGAGAGCCTTCAGCCAGTGCTCCTCTCTCATTCAGCATCATAGAATCCATACTGGGGAGAAACCATATGAATGTAGCCAGTGTGGGAAAGCTTTCACATCAATATCGCGGCTGAGTAGACACCATAGGATTCATACTGGAGAGAAGCCCTTTCATTGTAATATGTGTGGAAAAGTGTTCAGTTACCACTCAGCCCTGATAATACATCAGAGAATTCACACTGGAGAGAAACCATATGCATGCAAAGACTGTGGGAAAGCCTTCAGCCAAAGCTCAGCACTTAACCAACATCAAAGAATCCACACTGGAGAAAAGCCTTACAAATGTGATGAATGTGGGAAGGCCTTTTCCTGGGTCTCAAGGCTTAACATACATTACAGAATCCACACTGGAGAGAAGCCCTATCATTGCAAGGAATGTGGGAAAGCTTTCAGTTCCCATTCAGCAGTAAATACGCACAGAAAAATCCATACTGGCGAGAAACCTTATAAATGCAATGACTGTGAAAAAGCCTTCAACCAAAGCTCAGCCCTAATTCAGCACCAGAGAATTCATACTGGAGAGAAACCATTTAATTGTAAAGTATGTGGGAAGGCTTTCAGACAAAGTTCATCCCTTATGACACATACGAGAATTCATACAGGAGAAAAGCCTTATAAATGTAAAGAATGTGGGAAGGCTTTTAGTCAGAGCTCATCTCTTACCAATCATCGGAGGACTCATTGAGCAAAGCTGTATAAGTAACAGGCATGCGGTAAATCTTCCACGAGAGGTTCATTCCATACTGACTGTAACAGTTCATCCTGGGGAGAAGGTGATAAGGAGTAGTTAATTGGGGGTAAGCATCAAGTTAGACTTCAGCAAACACCAGGGACTTCATGATGCAGGATAAACTTGGGAGTGCTAGGAAAACTTCCATAAAATGTTTTTCACATATTTGTATTATTAGTGACTATAAAGCCGAGACTAAGATTGAAGGGTTGATGGTTTATTTCCCTTCTAGTGATGTTTATTTAATAGCCACCAGTTTCTAAAGCATCACCATGAATCTGCTGGTTTAGGTAAAAGTGCAGCCATAAACCACCAGGATTCAGATAAGTCTAGGATCTATTTTTTGAGATTGCCCTTATTATGCAAAGATAGTTGAAATTAGAAAGGATTTGGGGGAAAGAAATGTACACAGGTAACCTGCAGCTACCTCATGTCACTAAAGTTTGTTTTAGTATTCTAGAATTAATTTCCATATTTGGTTATTGTTAAAAATTTTTGGTTCATTTTTCCTTTCTGTAAGCTTGAGAAGTAAATCGTTCTGTGAACCATGCAGATATGTTGTCCTTTGTGTTTTCTTCCCAACGACTTGTTACCACCACTGATTCAGATCTAAAGTCACTTTAAGTCACAGAATGCATGGTATTACACCTGTTCTTTTTAGAAAACAATTACCTTTGCTATATTAAATTGTGATGTAAAGTTCTTCAGACAGCTGCTTTTGCAATTTAGTTAATGCATATATATTGCTAGAAATAAGAAGTTATGGTGTAGCTGAATGGAGCAGAGCTCTTGGCTTCCCTATAGCAATTGTTCACTGTTTATATAACCTTATGGAAGGTGCTTCCTAAGCCTGTCAAGTTTCAAGAGCTTCCTGTTTCCCTCCTCATGGAGTGGCTGTTTCTATGCAAAGGAAATAGCTGTATAACACTGACCCTTCCTCCAGTCCTTGCATTCATTCAGCCTCTTCTGAAGTGTGCCCTGGGCCTTGGAGTATTTCTTTCTGTTTATGGCTGAGCATTGGACCATATACTGTAGCAACTCCACAGTAACTACCACCCATTCACGGTTTCCGTACACAACCAATGTTAGCAGCAGGGGTAATCTATAACCATCGTCAAAATGCTTAGAAGGCATATCACATCCAGTAGCCCGTCTCTCCCCTGGGACCTGTCATCTACCCAGCTACAGATTTTACCCTGGTAAAATGCAAGAACTCTCCTATGGAGCAGACTTTAAATGCAAATGGAAGATGGTTGGCTGCACCTATTGTGTCACTATTGCACCAGTGAGCATCTCTTCTGGCACACTGATGGCATCAACACATCGTGCACAGCTGCGAGGAACCATCAGTACGAGTTCTCCCCAGCAGGTGCTGCACTGTGCTTCTCAGCACTATGAAGGTAAGCCAGCTAGCATGATGGGATCTTCCAGCCCAGTCCCAGCCTGATTTCTCCATGTTCAGCAGCTGAAGTGTAGTATCATCACCAGTATGGACTTCCATATATTTCTGACATACAAAATCAACCCCAGAAGTAATAGCCTTTATGGGTTGGGAGGTCTTAGGCACCTCCCTGACCAGTAATACTTAGGGAGGCAACCCATCCCTGGGACTGAGATTTTGATTCAAACTTAACGGCAACTGAGTGCCTTATTTCAGCCATGTATGGTGTCTTCTGCATTTCAACACTGTCATTGCTAGTTTTTACTCTTCTTCAAGATGCTTTTCCAAATCTGAAAGACTTAACATATATGGGACCTTTTTAAATAGAGGTTGGGCAAGATCTCTGAAGGTTCATTGTTAACCGCTCCAAGCAAATGCCAGTTTAATCTTGGGATTCAACAGCTAGCTGGATTTAAAAAAAAAAATAGACCCAATACAGCATGAAAAGATACCATCACCTCCCACTTGTTTCCTCAGAAGAGCAACATTGGGTACAACAGCATGGGTGGGAGACACCTAGGCCTGTAATCTGCAGGCCTTCTCCATGAGTTTTCCTGTTTCCTCATTCAATGCTGCCGTGGGACTTCAGCACGTCTCCCCACCCACAACAGGCTAGCTTGGGTGGCTTGTACTGTGTGGCCCTTGCGCCTCTGTGGATCATACCTGTCTGCTGAAACGGCCCAGGCTGTCTGAACAGTCTCCATCCCCAGGTACTTTCTTGCAGGAGAGAAATGTACACAGCATGCTTTGGGAAAACAGTTACCCACCCCAGGATAAGCTATTCTTTCTCACCTTCACCCATGACTTTCACTCTGGTGAACTGTGGCTTAGGCTCTGAAGCCCTCCAAAGCTCACAAATTGGGCTTGTTACTTTTTTTTCCCTCAGAACATCAGCTTGACATAAATCTTGCCCCATTTGCTTTTGAGTGACCTAGACAGGCCCAGTTTTAGCTACTTTTCTCCTTGCTGTGGTAAAATACCCTGACAAAAGCAACCTAAAGGGTTTATTTTTGGCTTGCAGTTCCAGAGGGATACAGTCCATCCTATCACAAGACAATACATAGTAAATTAATGTGTATCTCAGGAGCAGTAGACAAAGAAGTAGCAATCAACTTTAAGTTGTCATGGAGGTTTTTTTTCTGTTTTTTTTTCTATCATTGTCTTCAGACTTGTTCTGAATCTAGTAAAAGAGGACAGTGTCCATTTTCATGACTTCCTAATTGGCCATTTTTAAGGCAACCTGAAAACAAAATACCTCCCTGTGATGCTGTGGGCTAAGGAGGAAGCCTTTCCCGAATTGGAGGACATTACCCAAACCCCTCAAGGCATGTTAAGCTGACATGCTGGGGTTCTTTGCAAAGACTGGGCTTGGGAGGCCCAAGACCAGATGGGGGCTGAGGTTGAGGCCTAGTAAAAAAGAGGGCCTAGAGGAGCCTGCACTATCCTCTGCTCAGAGCCTTCTCGTCTCATTCAGAGTAAAGTCCAACGATGTGATACCCAGTGAGAGCCCATACATTTTAGATCCCTTGCCTGTGACCTCCACCCACCCTCTCCTTTTCCTTTTAGCTTCACCAACAGCATTCTTACTGTTCCTGAAAAGACCAGACATGCCTTCCTCTCAAAAGCATCTGAATGTTTCAAGTTGTGCCAGCAAGCCTTTTGGCAGATACTTGGTTCACTCCAAGTTGTCTTTCTTCAGATGTTTTTCCCATGAAGTAGTTAATTCTATTGTGTTGTTGCAGGTCGGAGTTCTCACAAAATCACCAACACCATTTCAGTAGAAAGTAGCAAGATAATATTTTATTATGACCGGCGGGGCTGTCTATCTCAGGAGTAGAAGCAGCCTGCAAACATTAGCCGTTTAGGGTTTTTATAGGATTACAGAAAGCATAATTTAAACAGAACATCTGTGAGCCAATCAGGTTTGTACAACAGCAGAATTTGAATTTACCAATCAACAGCCTGTTACTGCGTGGGCAAGTGAGGCAAGTGTACAACTCAGTAATTTTAAAAATTAGTCAATTACCTAGCCATAACAAGCAAACATTGTCACGGAATAACAGGGTGGTCTCATACCACATGTCAAGGTGATCTGAAATAGCAAGCAAGTTACAGAAGCAAAACAAGCAGCCAGATGCAGGATGTCCCAGATCAATATATTTTGCAGTTTTGTGGGTAAGCCATTTTCTCAGGACTCAAGGTTGCCCCCCCTTCTGAGTATTTCACATAAGTGGAACAGAAGTCACCGTTGAAATACTGCTCTGGGCAAAATAGAGTAACTTGGGTCAGGTTGCTAATACATTTCAGTGTATAATTGTAACCCCCCCCCCCACCTTGAGTTCCTGTTCTGTTACCACACATCACCACTTCTAAATGTATCTTATGTATTTTTGTCTCTTCTTTCAACTAGGATTTAAACCACAAAGTTTTCACAAGATTTGCTCACAGGTGTGTTTCAAGCATGTAAAGAGATGTCAAACTCAACATTTTTTTCATTGAATTAATGATAGACTCCTGTAAGTGAAAATCAACACACTTTGCATGTATTGCGATAGAAGACTGGATTTTTTAAAATATATTTTTTATGTGTATGAGTGTATTGCCTGCATGTATATGAGTGCACCCAAGTCGTGCAATGCCTCAGAGGTCAGAAGGGGGCGTCCGATTCCCCTGGAACTGGAGTTAAGGACGGTTCATAGCCACCATGTGGGTGCTGGGATTCGCACCTGGGGTCTCTGCAAGAGCAGTCAGTGCTCTTAACCACTGAGCCATCTCTCCAGCCCCAAGACTCTGGGTTTTTCAGTCATGGAAGAATAGTAGTGGTCTCTCTGTAGCTGAGGGGATTGTTTTCTGTTAGTTCACTCTACCCTAGCCAGACAGCTGAAACCAGATGTCCCAGTCCTTTTTAAAAGGCATAGTGCTTGTATATAGATTATCTTCCTGTGTACTTTCAATCAGGTTACACAGTGTAGCTAACCAATGCCCCTAACCATTCACAGACCCAGATGCTCTGTGAAGCAAATTCAAGCTTTGCTTTTTGGAACTTCTGGAATTTTTTCCTTAAATATTTTTGATGTAAAATAGTTGATTGAACCCCAGAATGCTGAAACCTAAAGATACAGATGGACAAGTTTATATAGCTATTTCATTTATATGATAAAAACTTTGCAAATATAATTATTGTGTATGTCTATATCAAACGGGGAAGTCAATTCAAGAGTGTTTCTGGAGCATTGTGAAAAGACTTCCAACATTTTGTTCAAGTTCTCTCTTATAAGCCAAACGCTATTTATCTGTATTCAATCACTTTTTTTCAAAAAATCCTGCCTCTGAAGCCAGCCTGGGCTACATAGCATGGTCCTGTCACAAAACAAAATAAGCAAAAATCTCAACTGTATCTGTCTGTATCTATGCATATTAGTTTCTGTGTACTATACATATTGACATACTAATCATGACTAGTGGTGTGAACTACACAGATTTGCCTAGGGTTTTGATTTGTTAGAGACTGAGTCTCCCTATGTAGTCCAGGCTAGCCTCGAAAGCAGGGGAATCCTCGTACTAGTAGACATCTAAATCCAGGTTTTGTCTTGTCACATCATTGTGCTTACATAACAAAACCAGTCTGAAGGCTGACCTAGGGCGCCCCGCCAGCCCTGGAAGTAGACCACCGCCTCCGTTGTCACACCCAGCCTCAAGCTGCAACCCCACGTGGAACCCCGCGCTGGAACTTACACCCCAGCGCCAGCTCAGCACCCGGAAATTGCCGGTCGCCGCGGTAGCCTCTGGGAAGTGTAGTCGTAGTGGGCCAGAGGCATGCCGGGAGTGGTAGTTCTTAGTGGTTTCTCCCGGTGGTGCTGCTGCTCGTGGCCTTTTGGGGGGCTCTTGGCGGAGGTGGTCCACACTCCGCTGAGAGAGAGCGCCTGTGGCCGAGACCCTCGGGACTGCAAGTGCTAACCCGTGGCGGGAGCCACCGCCTGTGCAGTGTGAGTGAGGCGGCGGGGCTCGGCGGGGCTCGGCGGGCGGTGGGCTTCGCGGACAGGCCTCGCAGCTCGGCCCGCTGTCGCGAGCGCGGCCTGGGCGGCGGCTCTGCGCACGGCCCGCTGGCTCTGGGGACCCGCCGCGCTGCCGGCCCGGTGGGGGAGCATGGATGTGACGCGGTCTGCGGGGGGCGGGGGCCTGTCCGTCCTCTGTGGCATCTTAGCGGAACAGACATCGTGACAATAGTTAACGCCTATTAGTCGAGTCTAATTGAATGGAGTAACTCATGTAATGCCCAGGTGCAGGTAGCTTGGCCCTTTATTGTGCCGCGTTCCAGGGAAGAAACCGAGGCGCGGAGGGCCAGGTCGTCCCCTGGAATTGCTGCTGTGATGGCTGGGGGGATTCTCTGGTCAGCGCTGCGGCTGTCTTCTGACTGCGCAGGCTGGAAATCTTGGTTAGCAACCTCAGCCACGCCTGGAAAATGTAGTGAAATACATTCCGCCTCTGCCGCCCAGAGCGTTGGTTCCCGAACAGCCAACGAAATCGAGTTAGAGAAAAAGAAATAAAAGCCTCATGATGTTTTTAATAAGTTCTGTGTCCTGTGGGACTGCTTTCATAACTAACACCCGGGTGACTTATAATACCTGATACCATGTAACTCCTCTGTAAACAACTATACAGCATTGTTTAGGGACTAATGAAAAAAAGCGTCTTCAGTACAATTTTTTCCAAATATATTTTTGATCTGGGATTAGTTGAATTATAGATGTCGAACATGGAGGAACAGCTGGACTGACTTTAAGAGTCCTTGAAAAGATTAAAAGTAATTCATGAAAAGCAAAATGTGCCTCGTAAAGTAACCACACATCATTATTTCCCTGTGGCTGGCTGTGTTGCGCCCATTGAAGAGGTCACAGAACATTTCCTCGTGTTATGCTGGGTCCCTGGGCCCTGGCAGGGTTGGTCAAAGCAGTTGGCACAGTGTCTGATCTTGCTCTCTGTAGGGCGTTTGGGGTTCCCTCCACTTCCAGCCCAGGTGCATGTGTGGGGAGAGGATGGGCACTAAGAGGTGGCACCCATGGGGTCAGTATTTGGTGGGGGCAACCGAAAAACCTGATGCCCTGTGTTTTGGGCCTGGTGTTGTGATCATATAACCCTGGTCTACTGTGGTGAGGCTGGGTGCAGAGCAGGTGTGAGAGTCAAGGAATATTTACCGCCAGGTTTATGCTCAGTTCTTGGGGAAAATACAACATGACACTCACAGCAAGTACAGGGGTTTGTCCCAAGGCACAGAGAGAGAGGGGAAATTCGGGCAGGCATCTTTATTATAGTTCTCACAGGAAGGAAAGGCCAGCAGGCTTCAGATCAGCTAGCTGTGTTTGAACACACCATTCTGAAGACATTCAGGTTCACAGTCAGGCATGTCCGGTCTGCAGCCACAGGCTGTGTGTGGTTGAGAATAGCTATGAATGGGGCCCAACACAAAACTGTGAATTTACTTAAAACATAGAGGTTTTGGGGTTTTTTTTTTTTCTCTTTAACAATTGCGTAGTTCTCTAGTGTGAACTTTGTAGATGACAACATGACATTACAGTGCCAAAAGGTTGGGCATGCCTGTTGTTTAAAGCTGTCTAAGGACCTTTACTATTTGTGAACAAGTGACAATTTTCGTAGAAGGTGTTAATGGCGCTGCTGTTGTGTGTGGAAGAAGCAACTGGAAGATGGTTAATAAACAGAAGGGAGGCAGCTTGGCCCACTGGCTTGCTTAGCCTTCTTCTTGCTTGGTTGCATTATGGGGTGGTTTTCTTGTGACCCTATGGTCATTGTGGATGGGTTTTTAAAAATAATTTAAAATTTTATTTTTATTTTATGCTTATATGTGTGTCCTATGTATATGTGCACTAGTACAGTACCTGAGGAGGCCAGAAGAGGGTGTTGGATCCTTTGGAGCTAGAGTTAAGGTGGTTGTGAGTTGCTGGATGTGGGTGCTGGGAATCAAACTTCAGTCCTTTGAAAGAGCAGCAAGCACTCTTAACTGAATCATCTCTCCAGCTCCCCATTATGGGTGTTTTAACTGCCTCTGTAAGGCTTCTTTTTGATACCAGAATTCCTCACTACACTCTTTTTCCTTTCCAGACATACCTTGTAAGCACTCAACTCCCCTTTGACAGGAAGATTGAGAAGGAGGAATGGCTGTGGATTTGCTGCCCACCCGGGGGACAGTGAGTGAAGTTTGTCTTTGTGTGCATTGTTTTCTGGTTTTAGAGATGGGGACACGTTTCCTTTCTTTGCCCAGGTGCTTTTCTATCCAACAGAAATGTTGGAGGGTCCAGTGCCTCCAAAGTTCACCTGAATCTTATTGAGAAGCTGCTGGGGAATGTGCCTCTTTGTCCCCAGGTGACTTTTAATTTAACCCAAACTGAATTTGCAACCCAAGTTTCAATCAGTTCTGAGTGCTACCCTACCCTAACCCTAACCATACACACATCACATATACATACTACCGGCACACATGCACACATAACATACACACGTCACACACATATATACTACATGCACACGTGTACCACACCTACATTACAAACATGTTTAATGCACCACATGCGTACATCACCACATAAACATATAAGCCACACGCCACACACATACCACATGCATATGCCATACATACACATCACACACATAAACATCACATATATACACCATACATATGCACCACATATATACACCACACACATACATCATACACACATATACCACATGCCTACACTACATGCATACACCTCACATATACATTATATGTACATACCACATACATATACCACACAGACATGCACCACACATATGTACCACACACATATACACCACATGTATATGCCACACATATTGGCCACACATGCACTAAGTAAGTAAAATAGAAATTAATAAAGGAAAATAAATTTATTTAAAATTTGTCCAAAAAGAGGAGAAAAGGAAACAAATTTCTCCCCACTGTTCCTGTAGCAGTTTTACAACTATAGGAAACCATGAAACAGAACCCAGGAGGAATGGAGATTTAGCTCTGAGACTTTTAACAGTCCCTTCCTGGGGAATGGTGGCTCAGTCCCAGGTTGTCTCCACTGTCCCTGGTCTCTGAATTTTCTAATTCAAGTGTGGGCCAAGGAAAGTGGAGTAGACATTCCATTTCAATGATTCCCCATTAAAAATATATTTTATTATTATGAGTATCTTGCCTGCATGTATGTAAGTGTACCCGTGTTGTAAAATGCCTGAGGAGGTCAGAAGAGGGTTTCAGGTCCACTGAAACTGGAGTAACAGATGGTTTTTAGTCACATGTGAGTGCTGGGATTCAAACCTGGGTCCTTTGCAAGAACAGCCAGTGCTTCTAACTGCTGAGCCATCTCTCCAGCCCCCAAGATTCCCCATTTTTTAAAGAAAAGAGTCTCGGGTATTTTATGGGATGGTAGGTATAAAATCCCTACCTGTTCTGGGCTTTGCAGATTTCTTTGTCCCACGGTCTGTTCCTTTGACAGGAGCAGGGTGGAGCCCTTTGTATCTTTTCCTTGAAGCTCAGCGTCAAGCTGAGCTTCTGCCTGCTCCTGTTAATTATACTAATTTGGCAATTGAGAAAAGGTGCCAAGAAGATGAGGCATGAGGGTGTCTCTTTGGAATTAATATATCTTCTGTGACCTGCTGCTAGGCAGGCTAGCAGCCATGTGGCAGAAGGTTGGGGTAGCTTCAGAGAACAGGGGAGGAAGCCCAGAGTATGAGGGAAAGCATGCTTAGGCTTTTGGCCAAAATCTGAAAGAAAAAGAGACAGAAGGAAAAGAAGTCGGGCTTTTCTGGGTAGCTCTGAAAAGTGGGCAGGCCCCACAGTGCTCCCTGATACAAGCTCTGCAAGGGGCTGCCCTGAGGGATGGCTTCCGGGGAGGGTGAGTACTCATGTCATTTAAAGGATAAGAAGTCCTCCCCTTCCTAGCATGTTTTCCAGTTAATCAGACTTCCTGGTGAGGGAATGGAGGCTGGTGATCATTCTTTGAACTACTGAGCCATCTCTGTAGCCCTAGAAGTCAGAAGTCTTCCACAGGTTTAATGTCTAGCTGTCTACAGGGTTGGTTCTGTCTAGATACTGGGAGGAAAAATCCATTTCCTTACTTTGTCATTGTCTAGTAGTTCCCTGCAGTCCTTGGCTTGTGGCTTTCCATCTTCACAGCTCATCACCTCAGTCTCTGCCTCTGTTAATGACATGAGAGTCTCTTACATTGTATTCCTCCTGTATTTTATGAAGACCATTGTTATTCCAAATCTACCTAGATAATAATCCAGGGTAGTCTCTCCATCTCAAAACCCTTAAGATAAACAGAATTTCAGAGTACCCTTTGTCATACATGTAACATTGACATACACTGTACCACAACCATCACTGTAGAAGTAGTGTTGTAGTAAGCATCCTTGAGCAAACGTCCCTACCCACTGGTGAGATTATTTCTAGTGGTAGAGTAAAAGTAAACGTTCAGGGTTAAAGTGTACCTTTTATATTGTGGTAGAGTCTCAGGAAAATGCCCACCAAAGGCATTTCTCTTCCTGGCTTGTACCTTCTCATATTTTTGGGTTAAGTTTCAGTTGGAAGAAATGACTCTCAGTGACTTTCTTGCACCTATATAGTCTTATAAATCCTTTTGTTCTTTTGATTTTCATAATGAATAGAAACCCATCTGGCAGTAGCTTGAGGTCAATACCTAATTCAAATCCCAGTTCTTTTGCTTTTTTATAGTATTACCTTGAGAAGATTGCTTATCCTATTTATTTATTTATTTACCTAGGGGTGTGTGTGTGTGTGTGTGTGTGTGTGTGTGTGTGTGTGTGTGTGTGTATGTATTCAGAAGTCAGAGGACAACTTATGAGAGTCAGTTCTCTCCTACTATGTGGGTGCTCAGGATAAACTCAGATCGTTAGGCATGGTGGTAAGAGCTTTTACCCACTGAGCTATATTGTCCACCCATGTTACTTAACCTTTCTAGATCTGTTTTTCCATTTGCAAAGTAAATTTAACTATAACCTCTTCCTCGGGGGATTTTAATAAGACTTAAAGGAGAGAGTACATGCAAAATTCCTGTCATACCTCTAAGGTATTCATTAAACGAATAATTTTTTTAAAATATTTTATTATTTTTATTTTATGTGTATCAGTGTGTTGCCTGCATGTATGTGAGTGCACCCATGTTGTGCAATGCTTCAGAGGTCAAAAGAGGGCTTTGTATTCCCCTGGAACTGGAGTTAAGGATGGTTCATAGCTTCCATATGGGTGCTGGAAATCAAACCCAGGTCCTCTGCAAGAGCAGTCAGTGCTCTTAACCATGGAGCTATCTTTCTAACCCCTAAACGAATAATATTTTTATTACTTTCTTTATATCTTACAACTTGCTTTATGCTCAACTTTTGGATTTTTCCACAGCTTTCCAGCATGGCTCTAAATGAATTCCAGTTTATGTTACTGCTTTTCTTCCATTGACTTGGATTTTTAAAAATTTATTTATTATTTTTATTTAATGTGTATGCATGTATTGCCTGCATGTAGGTAAGTGCACCTATGTCGTGCAATGCCTGCAGAGGTCAAAAGAGGCTGTTGGATCCCCTGGGACTGGAGTTACAGACAGTTGTTAGCTGTCATGTGGGTGGTGGGATTTGAACTTGGGTCTTCTGCAAGAACAACCAGTGTTCTTAACCGCTGAGCCATCTCTTCAGCCCCTGACTTGGATTTTTAATGGGAGAAGGCTTACAGTGTGCTTGGGAACACTGTCAAATTCCAGGGCTGGATTTTAATTCCCTACTGTCAGGGGCTTGACCTTCCTCCACTCATCCTCACAGCATGTGTCATGTGTCTTTGATTCTAATGGGTCCTCAGTAAGTACGTGTTTAGCTAGTTAATAGCTATTTCTCAAAACAAAATTACATAGATGACTCAAAATACTTTAAATCCTGAGAAAATTTCAGAATCACTTGTAGTGCCTCCAGTGTCTCTTTCTTCTGGAATCTTCCATTGAAAACTATGGTCTGGGGTGAGCAGGGATGGGTTTACCATTCCAGGAGCCGTTGAAGTTTGGGGATGTAGCTGTGTTCTTCAGCCAGGATGAGTGGTTGCACCTGGACTCTGCCCAGAGAACCTTGTACCGGGAAGTGATGCTGGAGAACTATAGCAACCTGGCCTCGCTGGGTAAGGATTTTTGCTCTAATGAAGAACTGACCGGACCAAGGTCCTGCAGTTGCTTCTTTGGGTTCAGAGTCTACTGTTTTCTGTGCTATTGTGCCGCTGGGAAAAGTTAGCCTCTTGGGTTGAAGTTTGTTTTTGCTTGTGGCCCTTTCCTGCTTCTTTCTCCTTCCTCGGCCCTTCCCTGCACCCCGCTCTCAGTCCGTTTTTCTCCATGCACCAGGTCAGTGACTAAATCCCACTTAAAGTCTGGAAAACATGTAAGACATTGAAATGTTGACTGGAGCATCCTGTCTTAGGGTCCTTCATTTCCAGGACCTTAGGATTATTTCTGAATTAAACCCTGCTTCTTGTCCCATGCCCTAAGAGTGTTAGTGTCCCCCAGGAAGCATTTATGGTCTGTGCCCCACTTCCCAAGGATGGCCTTCTCTCTGAGGTCAGGGGAGTAGTAACTATGTGTGGTCTGTCTGGGATTGCTCTTCAGGCCATTCATTCCATCCATTTCCTTCCTCATGAGCAGGGATTGAAGCTTCAATCCCTCAAGTGATTGGCCAGCTTCAGCAAGGAGAGGATCCCTGCATGGAAAGAGAAGACCCTGCAGATACCTGTGTAGGTGAGTGAGATGTTGAGAAATGGGGACACAGGAGTTTGCATGAGTAGGTTGTGAAAAGGCAGTGGGCTAGTGATGTCCTTGCAAATACTGAATCCTTTTGAGATGCTCAAGGCCTGTTGTATTGTATTTAAACTGGCAGACCGTTGTCTAGATGCAGTAACCTAAATTAATCTAGTTTCAATTAGGGATTGACTAAAGAAAGCCAAATTTTAAACTAGAGTGACATACCATCAGCTCAAACTAAATCTTTTTACCTATAATCAGAACTGAACTTGGGGTTGAGGCACACTTGGAACTTCAGGACAAGTTGACTTCACATATCTTTTTTAAAAAAATTTTATCTTTATTGTTTCTATTTAACATGTATGAGTGTATTGCCTTCATGTGTGTAAGTGTACTCATGTCATGCAGTTCTTGTGGAGGTCAGAAGAGGGCATCGGATCCCCTGGAACTGGAATTATGGAACTGGAATTGTTGGATGCCATGTGGGTAGTGGGAATTGAACCCGGGTCCTCTGCAAGAGCAGTCAGTGCTCCTAACAGCTGTGCCATCTCCAGTCCTGACTTCATGTATCTTAAAGATTTTTGTTATTCTCATAGGATTCCGACAAAGAGATTACAATCTCTGGTTGCAGCTTACTAGAAGAAATGAATATATTGTTTGTCCTCGTGGCCCAGTAGAAAGGTGAAGGGATGGAAGGGTAGCCAGAGAAGCTTGGTCTTCCAATCATAGGTGTAGATTGTTGCACATGGCTGATTTAGTCCACATTTTTCTTTATAACCATCATCTGGATCTTAGATCAAATTTGTTTTTCTGAACTGTAGGAGTTTTTAAAACCCAAGTGTCTTCTTTTTACAGACTGTTTCCCCTTTCACAGGTCATGATGAAGTTACAATCACATATGAAGTCAAATTTTTTTTCCCCCTTTTGTCTTTTTTTGAGGCAGTGTCTCACTGTAGCCCCAGCTGTCCTGGAACGCACTATATAGACCAGGCTGGCCTTGAACTCACAGAGATCCACCTGCCTCTGTCTCCCAAGTGCTGGGATTAAAGGTGTGCGCCACCACGCCCAACTGAAGTCAAATTTTTAAGAAAAGCAATGTAAATATTTCAAGACTAATTGACTAAGGGGTTTCAGAGGGAGCATGGGGAAAATGACATGAAAGTGACCTGTGAGTGGAAGAAGGTAAAGGGAAGACACCTGCTCATTGCTAAGTGTGTGTGGAGTAGTGAATGATGAGCACCTGAGGAGTCCCATGGTGCTCAGCGTCAGCTCATCCCTTGATGTTGTTCTGTCTCCTCAAACCTCTGCCCAGTCTGTCCTCCCCCGTCTGACTTTATGTTTCCAGGGCTGCAGTCTCCTCATTTCTAACCTTCATTTATCTTATGTTCTCCTGTGCTCTGCTTCAACCCATTTCCTCTCACCATTCTGCTTTTCCTTTAGATTCAAGGCCACATTTCAGATCAGGTGGCATCAAATCTCTTATATGTGTTATTACCACTTTTATTGTCCCACTGATGCATTCATTTCTCTCTTCTAGCAAAGTGAAAAATTAAACATTCTTACTCATTTCAGATTTCCAGATTTGGCCTGAGATAGAAGCATTACCTCGCAAACATGATGTTCTTTCTGAAGAAACACCTCATGATATAATAAAGAAAGAATCCACTAAGTATGTTCACTGGAACATCAGCTTGGAAGAAGCTGAGAAATCTGAGAGCAAAATGGCACAGGAGCAGGAAAAGAAAGCTCTTGATCGGGGGGCAGCTTCCCCTGAGGAAACCATCAGTGGAGAGGGAAATCCCACAGGTCCTGAAGGAGGGAAAGCCTCACTTATAAATACATTCTCACAACAGAATATTCCCTCAGAAAGGGTACCTGATATGTATTACACTTTTGGGAAAGATTTGACACAGGATTTTGATTTAGTGAGCTTACAGATTTACCCAGGACAAAAACCTCATGTCTGTAACGAATGTGGGAAGGGCTTCAGCCAGAGTCTTCAACTTCTTGAGCACCAGAGGATTCACACTGGGGAGAAACCTTACAAGTGTAATGAGTGTGAGAAATGCTTCAGCCATAGATCTTCCCTCCTGGCCCACCAGAGAATACACACTGGAGAGAAGCCATACAAATGTAGCGAGTGTGAGAAAGCATTCAGCAGCAGCTCCACCCTCATCAAACACCTGAGGGTGCACACTGGAGAGAAGCCTTACCGCTGCAGGGAGTGTGGGAAGGCCTTCAGCCAGTGTTCAACCCTCACTGTGCACCAGAGGATTCATACGGGGGAAAAGCTCTATAAATGTGGTGAATGTGACAAGGCCTTCAACTGCAGAGCAAAGCTACATAGACATCAAAGAATCCACACAGGTGAGAAGCCCTATAAATGTGGTGAATGTGGAAAAGGCTACAGCCAATTTCCATCCCTAGCCGAGCATCAGAGGCTCCATACTGGAGAACAACTCTGTCAGTGCTTGCAGTGTGGGAGAACTTTTACACGTGTCTCCACCCTCATTGAACATCAGAGAATTCATACTGGACAGAAACCATATCAATGCAATGAATGTGGAAAGACTTTCAACCAGTATTCATCCTTCAATGAACATCGGAAAATTCATACTGGAGAAAAACTTTACACATGTGAAGAATGTGGGAAAGCCTTTGGTTGTAAATCCAACCTTTATAGGCATCAGAGGATCCATACTGGAGAGAAACCCTATCAGTGTAACCAGTGTGGAAAGGCCTTCAGCCAGTACTCATTTCTAACTGAACACGAGCGAATCCATACTGGAGAGAAACTCTATAAGTGTATGGAATGTGGAAAAGCATATAGTTACAGGTCAAACCTTTGTAGACACAAGAAAGTCCACCTTAAAGAAAAGCTCTATAAATGGAAGGAATACGGGACACCGTTTATCTATGGCTCATCCCTTACTCCATATCAGAGATTTCTGAGAGGAGAAAAGCCTGTGGACTTTAATTCATCCCTCTAATAATCCAAGACTTCTCATTGGACAACAATCAGAAGAGTAGTAACTGGAGTGCAAAATCGAAGTAGATTTCCTTTTTTTACTTCTGCAGGAAATAGCTCGATACCACAGTCATGGGCAGCTGAGCAGTGACAGCATGAAGCATGCTGATGGCAGAATTTTGAGAACAGTAAAAAAAAATCAAGATTTCTTAATTTTTTAAAACTCATAGATAAAATATGAAAGGCCTCACTTTTTACAGAAAGCATAAATGATAGCTGAGTATAAGCTTTGTTCCAGATAGTCCCTAGCTTAGTTAATAATATGAACAACTTTGGGGCCTCATTCCCTAAAGTGGTGAGCCTTCATAGGGAAGGCCCCTTTTCATAAAGAGCCACTGACGAGAAAGAGGAGCTCTTTAACTTTTTGCAATTTAACTCTGCATGGAAATAATAAAGCTCTTTATGAGTTGCCCCATATGCAACATATTTATTTCTTTGTATCTGTATGTATACATACAGCTTTTATGTATATGCAGTCATGTGTCCCCTTATAGTGAGGACACATTTTGAAAAGTGCTTCATTAGGCAGTTTCATCTTTATACAAATAGACATTGCACTTGCACAACCCTAGTCAGTCAGTCAATGTGACCTCTTGAGGTGATCAGCACACCATACTTTAAAAAAAAATTATGTGTGTTAATGTTTTGCCTGCATGTATGTAAGGGTACCACAAGCATGCACTGCCCATGGAGGCCAGAAGAGGGCATTGGATTTCCTGGAATTGGAGTAATAGATGGGTATTAGCCACCCTGTGGGTGCTGGGAACTGAATCTGGGACCTCTGCAAGAGCAAGAAGTACTCTTAACTGCTGAGCTAGCTCTCCAGCCCCGACATACCATACTTTTTATAGTTATTTTTGTTTATTTGGGGGCAGGGCCTCACTGTAGCTTAGGATGGCCTTGAATGTACTGTGTAGCCCTGGCTAGCTTTGAGCTTGCAATCTTTCTGCCTCAGCTTTCCAAGTACTGAGATTACAGACATGAGCCATCATGCCTGGCATAATTTTTTTTTATTAATAGAATATATATGGCATAAGGATAAAAGTCTAGTATAGTGAATACATAAACTAGTAATGTAGTTTTGTTACCATTATCACGTGTCATGTAATATAAATAATTATGTACCTCACTTTCATCAGGCAGCCAGTACAGCAGATTTGTTTGTACAAATGAACAGTGAGTGTGTTGTGCTAAGATGTTAGGATGATTATGAAGTCATGACAGCTCTGTTGTCATTAGGCATTCAGAATTTTCCAGATCAATCAGTCTTATAAGACTATTGCCCATCACTGACCAAAGCATCATTATATGGTAAATGGCTGCATACGCATATACATGCACATGTGTGTGCCTATGTGTGTGTATACATATATATACATATATATATATATATACACACATAGCTTTGGAATATTTTTTCTTCATAATCCTTAATTATTTAAAAATACAATTTTGCTAGTTTAGAATTTACTTTTTAAGTTTTTTTGCCTAGGGGAGACTCTTTTACTCTCCTATATTATTTCTTGATGCGATCTGGTTCAGAATAGCTGAATAGAAGAGTCTCATTATAGTACTGTAGAAGTTGGCCTGAGTGTGAACAGGCTGGAAGACTGACATGCACCTGGTTTGTTGTAGAAGGTGTTTTGGCAGAGTCTCTGGCTATGAACCTGCCTAGCCCATTAGAGTCAGGAGAGAGTTTAGTTTAATTACGACCTTTCAAATTGAGGTTTTACCTCTGAAGATCTGTGATAATTATAGGTTCATTTTTATCCTTGAAGCCCAGGAACACTATTTGTTTTGTAACCTGGTTAGATGATACAATTGTAGTAATGTAATCAGTTGTCTTTTAGACTTTCCCTTAACTTTAGTCTTAATAATTGGCTTAAGATCGTACCTCTTTTTCTTAAATCTGTGCTTGTATAATGACTCCTTAAATCCTCAAAACCAGTGAAGGTCCTGGTGGGGGTCTTACTTTTGGACGTTTTCCATGTCAGGCTGCCGTTTTATTACACAACTTTGAAGACTTCTTTTTTGGTTGGTTGGTGGTTTTGTTTTGTAGGGCTGGCAACTGAATCTAGGGCCCGTACATGCTAAGGAGTACTCTGTCCCCGACCTCTATCCCAGCCTTAGGAATTCTTTTGTACAAAGTTTATAGATGAGTATTTTATTGTTAAACAATATATTCATCACTTTAATATTTTATTCTCTCCCTTAGGCCTAGTTCTTTTAATTATCTGACAAATAATTGGTTCATTTTTTAAAAACTGAGCTAACACAATTAGATTCTTCTGTCTGAGAAAAGAATTTGGAATTAAATGCAAGCAGTAAATGTAATATATTTCTTAATTGGCTTGTTTTGACTCATCAGAGTAATATCATGTATTTAAATATATTTGGAAAAAGATTAAGGCTTTTACATGGACCTCAGTATTTTGCATTGTGCTCAGTGGCTGTGAGCATGCTCGGTGCCACATTTTGGCTCCTAAATGTCCTTCCCTGCTGGGAGGGTCCGGGGCTCCTTAGAGAAATGGCTAATTGTGTGTTTGGAACAAGGGAAAAATAAATACTCCTGGAATATATTTTTATGAAAAAATTCTAGGATTATTACTGTAATATAGGCGGGCACAAGAACTCCCTTGAAGGTGTGTTCACTAGCCAAACTTAGAACAACTTAAACATCAAAAATATTTGTCAATAGAATTGGATGTAGCATTTTTTTCAAAGTTCATGAAAAAAATGAAGCTCATAAAATTATTTGAAGTGTTAGATTTAGAAAAGTTACCATTTTACAACTGCCAGTGTTATTAAATCTGGCTAAAAAATGGATTGGTGGTGGAATCCACTTCATGAAAAGATTTTTGAGGAACACTGCATAACTACAAAAGATCACAGCTATGAATTGCTAAAGAAACACCTGCTTTCATGATGAGATATGGCTGGCAGAGTTCCAGTAGTGAGCTGTGACTCCTGCTGCAAGGCCCTAGAAGTACGTGGAACTGTTTATGGTACCTTGCCCAAAACAGTGAAAGTCTATAGAAATCTCTTACCCAGACTTATCTTCCTTGCAAAGAATTGACTAACAAGTTGAGTTATACAGTAATAGACAAATCTAGAATCTGGGACATTGTACACCATCATTGTTCTGGACTTTTCAAAGAGCTAGTACGTCAGAACAAAAAGCGGGCTCAAGACACTCAAGAGAGCCATGCACAAAGTATCCTTTATTGAGAAAAATATTCAGAAAACAGTAAGACAACTGTAAAAGACATTTGGGGGATATTTAGGGAAATAGGAAGAGAAGAATAGATATTAAATGCAGTGTGCTTAATTTTTTAAGAATAGATAGGTATTGAGTTAATATACCCTTATTCTTAGGAGATGCATGTTTATTTTATGTTGAAAAGTCAGTCTGGAAGATCTTTTAAATGAACACTAAGAGTTGGTCAACTGTTGTTGAATCTTTGTGGTGGATATAGAGATAAAAGCTTGTCTGTATGTTTAAATTGAATAAAAATTGAGGCAAAAAGTGATTGAATAATGTGATGAATGGGTGGGTGGGTTCTGGTCACAATTCTGTATTCTCACTTCTGGTTTGAGATTAATCCTCCATGGATATGTGTGTAATCGATAGAAATGATGGTCTTGGTACTGGCTCCCCTTTACATGCAGTAAGCACACCTTGCTTTCCCTCCCACTGAATAGAACTGATAAACAGAAGCTGTTTGGAGACTCTGAGAAATAATGACAGCAGATAGATTAAAGAAGGAAACAACTTTGAAACAAGACATCTGGCACTCCTGGGCAGCTGACTAGGCCTCTATATCTCAGAGAGGAGACCCTTCTCTCTGGTCAGAGGAACTGTGGGCCAACTTCATTTTAATTTTACCATTTCTCTGCTACTTGGATCTGGAGGTGGATGTACCCATAAGATATGAGGCAAAGAAGAGACATGAAAGCCTTGGGTTTCTAGAAGACCAGAAGGACAGAGACTCCTGGGATGGAGTGGTGTCAGAAAAAAAGGAAACTCAAGAATGTGTTCTCATAGATGGTCTTCACTGTGATGACCCATGCATGCATAGATAACCTAGCTATATAGACCATTTGTATTAGGGTTCTCTAGAGGCACAGAACTGATAGAATGAACACATATTCGATGGGATTTACTAGATTGTCTTACACAACAGAGTAACTTAAAAACTCTTCATACTCAAGAGGCTGTGTCTTAGCAGTCCCAATCTGGCACTGAAGGCATGAGATTGCCTGGAGAGCCACTGGTCTTCAGTCCCTATTGAAAACCTGAAGAAGTTGATTGGAATCAGCAAAGGAATCAGCAGTGGAAGCAACAGGGTAGATGAACTCACCAGTGAGAATTAGTGCCATGCCAGCAAGAAAACGAAAAGCTTCCCTTCTATGTCCTTTTATCAGGGCCACTATCAGAGGGTGTTGCCTACTTTCAGTGTGGGTCTTCCCATGTCAATTAAGACAATTCCCCACAGACATGCCCACAGGCCAACTCAGTGTAGACAATCCCTCATTGAGGATCTCTTCCCAGATAATTCTAGGTTGTATCAATTTGACAGATCTACCCATCGCACCATTGCTCAACTCTTTCCACATAGCATAAGTATAAATAACCCTGCGAGTGTTTAGAAAATGGAGCAGACTCTAGAACCACAGCGCTCAGAGGTTAGGTTAGAACCGGTGACCAAACTAACCAGGTGAATTGCCTCCTAGGGGGAAAATGTTTTTCCAGAAGAATTAGGTATTCATAGTTTCATAATATTCAAAATAGCCAAGATGTGATAGAGACTTACACAAAATACATAAATCGGGGAAATTCCAGCAGTTGGTATTCTAGTTAGCTTCTCTTGCTGAGATAAACACCATGACCAAAAGCAACCTGGGTAGGAAAAGGTTTATTTGGCTTAACGCTTCTGATCACAGTCCATCATTGAGAGACAACAAGGCAGGAACTTAAGCATAGCAGAAGCTTGGAGGTGGGAACTGAAGCAGATTCCTTAGAGGAATACTGCTTAGTGGCTTGTGTTGTGTGGTGTGCCCCCCCCCCCAGCTTGTTCTGCTTCTATTAACACAGCCCAGGCCCACCTGATCAGGGATGGCACTGCTTACAGTGGGCTAGGCCCTTATGCATCAATTAGCAATTAAGAAAATGTCTCACAGACATGCCCATAGGCCAGTATGTTGGAGGAAATTCATCAACTGAGGTTCTTTCTTGTCAGGTGTATCAAGTTGACAAGCTAACCACAGTTGGTTAGGAAAAAGCAGGCAGAGACTCTTAAGATGCCTTGGGGTGGAATGAAGATGGTTTTTAGTTGACCCAGTGATTGTACGTAATTGTGGGGTGCAGTATGACATTGCAATGCATGCATACAATGAGAGATGGTCAGGTAGTTGGCATGCATATCTATGGATATGTTATGATTTTTTTGTGTTAAGGACATTAAAAATGCCTTAATGCTATTTTGAAATGAGCAATGAATAGTTCTCAACCACGGTGGCTACACAATACTATAGAAGGGTAATCCTTTAATAGAAGTATTTCTCCTGCCCAAATGTATCCCAAGACAAAGATATAATAATGCTTCAAAAAGAAACGAATAGAAATGCAGGAGTTTTAGCAGGAAAATAAGAGATAACTAAAAGATTTTAGAACTAGGGGCTGGAGAGCTGGCAGAGCAGGCTTAGTGGTTAAGAGCACTTGGTGCCTTGCAGAGG